CACACCCACACACACTAGTTTGGAAATCATCAGTCTTAATTCTTAGCTCCTTAAAGGGCAGTTGACTTGCTCAATAAACTTGGTTGTAAGAAAAAGAAAAAAGACACAAAATAAGTAGAATAGATTTGAAAGCCACAGGATGGGGATCATCCTTATTAATTTCTGAATCCCCCCAAATGCCTTGCACATACACTATTTGTAGCAAAATGTTTCTGAGGTGAGTGAGCACACCCTGGGTGGCCAACAGGACGGGACACTGACAGTGAAGCTGGGGGCTGGGGGCCTCTAGTCTTCCAGCGAATGCGGGTAACCCTGTGCGGTGAGTGTAGGAATACAGAAGAAAACACAGGCCCAGTCTGCCACAACGTCTACGCCGGAGAATGTGGGTCAGCCGTTTTCAGGTTGCATCCAGCCCACAGATGAGGCTGATTCACAGCATTTGTCTTATAATTCTGATTAGTTGCCAGCATTTAAAAATTAAATTGTGCATGTGTGTGACATACAGTGACCTCTGGCAGCCCCGGGCCTGTTCTCTCACTTGCTCAAGTGCGGAGATGGATCGCTTTAGCCAAGCGGGGTCTGTGAGCTCCCGGAATGCTCTGCTGCCTGCCCGGCCCTGCAAGCAGGTCCATTTGTGACACCCCCCCACCCCACCCACATGAGTATTTCCAAACTGCAAACTGCGGCCCCTTAGAATGTGGTGGAATCAACCTGGGGGTCACCAACACCAGGACAGGAAAACCAGGAGACGAGAGGAAGCGTCGGCGGAGGGAGGATCGCACATGGAGCATGCGCAGTTGGGTGGCTGTGAACGCCAGGTCACAACAGAGACGGCGGGTCCTTGTCATAAAGTCGGGCAACGACTGCGCTCATTATGAGGAGTAATGGGGCTCACTTTAGTCAGAAGGTGCACTTTGGGAGACCTGCACCCAAGGAGACGTACTGGTAAGGCCATTCGCCAGGTAAAGGACCTGGGGCAAATCATCCTCCCCCAATTTGCTGCTCTGGGAAGCAGAGAGATCTCTACATTGAGTGCACTCAGGGGAGAGCCCAGGTCTCCGCTCCACCTCATCCACTAGAGGAGAGACCAGCAGTGAGGGTAGGGTCCCATGCTGCCAGCCCCAGCCTCACCTCTCAGTCAGCGCCTTGCTCTGCGTGTCCCGGGCTGCCTGCAGGTCCTTCTCCAGTCGCTTCCGGGCCATCTCCAGCTGCTCCACCTCCCCCTGGGTCCACTTCCGGGGGCTGATGAAGCGCATCTCCTTCAGCAGCTCCTCCTTCTCGTTGATGAGGATCAGACGGTCCCTCTCTGAGTCCAGTACGCCAGGCCAGGCCTCGCTGTCGAGTTTGGCCAGCTGGATCTTCAGGTTGGCGATCCTGGAGGCCAAGACGGTAAATGTGACTGGTGTGCCCAATGGCATTGCCCTAATAGCAAAACGGACCACGGTTCCCGGCTTCTAAGGTGCATCCTCAGAGCAGTTTTTGACAGTGACTGACTTCCTTGATCAGCAGGTGGTCTCCAGGACCATCTTTTTATCTAACCAACATGCCCGGGTGCTACTTTGCCCGCAGTGAGGCTGGGTCTGCAGGGACAGGGCACAGACATGAATGACGCAATGCCCTTGCATTGAGGGACACCAGTCCTGCTGCAGCAGAGACCTGGACTCAAGTACTGGGCAATAACCTCTTCCCACCCGCCATGTGACCTTGGGCAAGCCACTCATCTCTCTGAAGGGAATAAGAAAATCTTCTTCATGAGACTGGGGTTGAAAGTTGTATGGTATAATCGATTAACCTTCAAAGCATAGCATTAGCACATAGTAAGCCCTCAACATAAGGGGACTTCAAAAAGCTCATAGAATTGATTAAATGGAATTAGGTATACATTAATTTTAGTGAAAAGAGTTTTGAATCACACACACATTTTCTACGAACTTTTTAAGACCCCTTATAAATGTTTCTATTGCAAATGTTCTGTCATTTATTAGGTGTGTTAGATTGGGCAAACTCCCTGGGCCTTAAAGATAAGAAAAATGATGACCCATCCTTCAGGATGGCTGTAAAAATGAGCAATAATTTATTCAGAGTGTCTCACACACAGTAAGTACTGACTCAATGGCAGTTGTGGGCTGCTAGGACTACATGACTAGCCATAGATCTAGTCCAGAGTGTTGGTGTCCCTGTGTGAATGGCCATGCATCTGGGGATTTGAGGTCACAGGCTTTGAGTTGCAGTCTTGGTTCTGGCCTTCTTTATGGAATAAACTATTTATTTTAAAATTAAAATTCGTTCTATGTTTTCAGCTCTAGTAAATGAAAAGGATTTTGTCCAATCCTTTAGGACTTGGACTCTACAAAATGCTTTCATTTTGGAGCTGTTAATTTTGCTGGACAGATGTCCAGGGAGGATATGGCTCGCCTGAATCAACATAGGGAGAAACACATTTAAGTCTGCCCCTTCCCCAGCTAAAGCGTCCCAGCAGGAGTTTTATAGCTAGTTACTTAAGTTCCATATTCGTGCATGGAGCAATCCATTAAGATTGGCTTTGGGCTAACTTTGCAGCTGCTGTTCTCCAAGGCTTTGAGGACTGAACAGTAAGAGAAGGTCTGGCAGGGCTCCCCTACAGGTAGGACATGGAGGACTGACTGATGATGTTTCTTGGATGTACTTTCTGGGGTGCTTTCCCCACGCCAGTGCTTCCTAAACTCAGTCATGCATCCTTTGGAGAATCTGACCCAAACTACCAGTCTTCTCAGAAATACACATGTGACAAAGCTGGCATCCAATGACAGACACTCCTACACTGTGGCCCCTCCTGCTCCTTCAGGACCTGCAGACTCAGCAGCCCATGCTGTCTCTTACACTAAGCCTAGACTGGGGTGGACGGGGACAAGCAGCTGGATAGTACACGAGCCTTCGTGATGAGAAGTTGATGACTCGACCTCAGAGGGAAGATTCCCATTTTAGAGTCCCTCCAGGACCAGCCATCTAAGACAGGCATTACCATGGCTGGAAGAGAGCCAGGGTTCAGAGTGGGCCCCGTCAAGAAGGTGGGAAGCGGTCCAGATAGAGAGGTCCTACTGTTTGCTAGACCTTGGGGAAGCCAAAACCGGACCCTGGACACCGTTCTTCCTCCCTGACCAGTGTCGACACCTCCCCCTTTTATTAATAGTATTTCATTCAGCTCTTACTTTGGAGTCACTTGGTTCCCACGAAGAGGGACCTTGCTTCCAGTTACACAGGGGACCCTGGAGCATGGTGTCCACTGTCTTTAGCCTGTTGCTGAAACCCCAGTTGCACTTCTTCCCACAAAATTACGCATAGGACCGTTGGAAAACCATGATTACAGAAACTGAGACGAACAAGTGGGAAGTCCAGTGGTTTTGAGGCTAAGTGGCTCTGGGTTCCAACCTTAGTTTCACTTTACCAGGCGAAGTATCCTAGGTGAGTCATTTTCTCTCTGAATTTCAGAGGATTAAAACATAAAAATTATAATACCTATCTTCGTGACCTTTAAGAGGATTAAACTGGATCAGGTAGGTGAAAAGCCAGGTGTGAAGCAGACACTCTATGACAGTAGTTATTACTGTGGGATCCACCCAGCCTGATCCCCCAGCCTTGAATTACCTTCTCTTGGCCTCTTCATATCGAAGGCGCAATCTGACCTTCTCCGCCAGCTGGTTATTGCTGCTGGTGCTGAACTGGAGGAGGAGAACAAAAGGGGGAATTATATGGCTATTGTGGTTGGGGCTGAGTTGGGTTTCAGGAGCTCATGGGAGACTTGAGAGCTTGCATGGGCAGGAGACAAAAAATAGCCCCCAATTATTGGGTTGTCTGTGCAGATCACAGGGAAGCTGGTTCTGCACACACACCACCCTTCCTTCAGGCCATGGGGAGAGCCCCCAGCTCAGACTTCTAGCACTTCGAGAAGTCAAGGGCCCTGAATATCATCTTGTAGCCACAAATAGCTTGGAACCAATTTGAGCCACAGAAATGGGGAGGAGACAATGGGGACAACCAATATGCAAAAAAGCCATTCTGGGGTCGCTGAGCGGGGGGGTCAACAGAAAGCCTAGGAAGGCTGCAAGCAGGAGTGCAATGTAGGGTGAGTTTGGGAAGCCCGAGAATTTAGAAGAAGACACACAATTTCTTCATGAGTACTTTACAGCTGGGCACACGGATGGTACGAGGACAGAAGGACAGCCCTTTCACAGAGCTTGTAGATCAAAAGCACCAAGAGACTGAAGGCTCACGGATCACGCATGGACATAGCTTCTCTTTGCAAGTGGGAAGACAGCTAAAGAAATTGTTAGGAATAGTGTTATTTGTTTGTTTGTTTTCCTTTTTTTTTTTGCTATAGGGCATGTGCACTTGCCAGAGAGACAGAGACAGAGAGAGAGAGAGAAAGTGGGTAAGCACCCTCCCGCGGCGGATAACCACACCACAATCCCTTCTCCATTCTCATCTCAAGATTTGGGACACGCAGGCACGCATGCCCATTGTGTTTTTCTTTTCTTTTTAAGGTTTTTGCCATAAGGCTCAGGTGCTTGTGGGAGAGAGACAGAGACAGTGAGAGGGAAAGTGAGAAATCACTGCTTGGGGGGATGGCCATGCTGCAATCCCCTCTCCTCCATTCTCCTCCTGGGGTTTTGGGTAGTCACACACACACACACCCGGCATGCTTTTTTCGAGCTGCTGGGTCCGGGACTCTAATGCAGTCAGCCATGTGGGAGTCCAGTGCTATAACCACTATGCCAACTGCTGGCCTTGCCCATAGTGTCTTTCAAGTCTTCAGGTCTGGGGCTAGAACTGCCCAGTGGCCCTGTGGGCTCCAGTAGCCTTAACCACCACCCCACCAGCTGGCCATGAGGCTGGTGGCAAATTCGTTTTGTGTTATCAGCTCTAGTAAATGAAAGCCCTTCGAGCAGCCGATCGCCATGGCCTGATCTTTCTCTAAGACTTTCAGGAGCTATGTCCGGACAGCACTGTCACTGTCCACAATGAGGACCAGACTGTGCTTTGGAATCGGGGGCCAAGCAGCTGTCTGAAAGCTGCATGCGTTGTTTTGGGACTAACAGGAGGAAGCTATCTTTTGCTTTCCAGCTGGTGAAAGAAAAATAGAACAGAGCTAGAGTAAAAGAAAAACCAGGGAGGTTGGAAAGGAAAAAAAAAAAAAAAAAAGGAACCAGAGAAAGACACTTAGTCCTTTAAAAATGTGTTCTGTGCAATATCTAAAGACACAAGTACTTGGCCAGGCTATACAAGGGACTGTGGCTCTGTCCCTCTGGCCTTTCCTCCAGGCATCATGTCCTATCGGCCTGGGACCAGGAGATGTGCAAGAGAACAGAGCTCCAGAGGGAGAGTTAGCAGCCAGCCCCACAATGACCACTGGCCAGCTCCTCAGGCGAGCGGCGAGAAGCAGCCGCCCATGACGGCAGCTCCCGGATGGAAGCTGGCAGTCCCTTGGGGACCCCTGAAGCAACCGCTGCCTACTCACGCCTCCTGAGATGTCTGTCTGGGAGCTCACATCCAGGTACTGTTTCGGCAGTGGGAAGCCGGAACTCTCCAGGGAGCTGCTGCTGGACCACAGGTCTGAGTGCGACCCTCTGTCGGTTCGAAAGCCGTCCTTCAGCATGGCGAGGCTCTGAAGGGGGGAGGGCAGGGTTAGTGAGCTCCCTTCCTGACAGGGAGCGCTGAGCCTGCCATGCCCCACGTGCCCTCCTCTCTACCACCCCTGACTGCGGACCCTGTGTGCGCTCAGGCATCCTACTCCGTGATAGTGAGCTGGGGACTCACTGTGCGCCAGGTACCATGTAAGAGGGACAGTGGACTCCAACTATGGAGCCACGATGCCCAAGTTGGAACCCTTTCCTGCTACTTCCTAGCTGTGCATTCCGAGCTAGCTGATTAACCTCTCTGTGCCTCTACTTTCTCTCCTATAAAATGGGAACAATCACAGATCCTATTATATTGATTACTAATCAGTAAGTATTTACTAGACTATCACATTGATTAAATAAGATAACAGCGTAAAGGGTCACTTTACAGCCACTACTTAAAAAACTGTCAGCTGTACCATGACACACACGCACACACGCACACACACACACACACACACACACACACACACACAGTTTGTTTCCTAAGCTGCTGGATCCCGGACTCACACCACACAGTCAGCCATGTGGGATCCAGCTGCCTCAGCCATCACACTATGGGTTGGGCTGACTCTGCTCTTAACTGTTCATCACACAGGAGCACTCCTCACTACCCATGAGCACCTCCTCTGAACGTGTGTACTGGGCTGCTCTCCTGTGCAGAGCTTCTAAACCATTCTTTGTCCTCTAGTAAGTCACTTAAATGCCCTAAGTGACTTTTTTTAGAAATGCTCTAAAGCATTTCTGAGTCTCAGAGTCTTAATCTGCCAATGGGAAGCATAATATCTCAGAGATTCCATAATAAAATATCTGGGAAGGTGACATGTGAGGGGTTAAGAGAATGAGCCTTTTTTTCTTTTTTCAAGTCATGAGTTTGACTCATGGCTCTGGCACTTACTCTCCTCATGAGTCAGAAGGTCTTTATCTGCATAGTGGGGATAGACTAAAGCTGATGTCAGAGATAAGTGAGACATGATGCATGCAAAGCACTTGGTGCAACTGCCTGGCACATTAAATAATATTTATCACCTGTTCAGTTCCCAGCACAGGGTCAGAACACACCGACATGCTTACAGAAATGCACCATTTTGATGTTAAGGTTAATGATGTTGAAACCTCCTCCCATTCGGTTTGCTGGAAAAGACACCAGGTAGCTATAGCGAATGTCAAGGCCTTTGCACGAGGCCAAATGGCTCCATCTAACTTAGCCATGGACACTAGCTACGTGGCCTTGGGCAAATCATGTACTCCTTCCGAGCCTCTGTCTCCTCTTTTGTAACCTGGTGCCCGAACCCCAACAAGACTAGCAAAGAGAATTCTCTGATCTGTGGCGCACGTGGATCACACGTGTGATCCCGGCACAGGGGGACCACATGGAAGAAACTGACATGGGACCTGCATCATGCTGTCAGCAGATGAGATCTTGCTTCTCCTTTTCTCCACAAGTGATGGCCTTTTTGATGGCTTTTGTTTCTCTCAAGACAGCTTGGGCTTCGTCCAGTTTGTAGCTGCCCTGAGCATCAGACATTTTCTTATCGATTCTAGGAGGCAGATAATGGAAAGATCAGACACAGGGTAGGGACAAGGTTTCCCAGGGGAAGAGCATAGACCACAGTGCTTTGGTCCCTCAAAGTCTCCCCTCTTTCTTTCCCAGGTCCCATTGTGGGGCAGGCGTAGAAGGTTCTGGCTAAACTGCATAATGCGTGACTGCTGACGTTACTTCGCTCTTGAAGTCGAGAGTCTCCTAAGCATCAGCTCTAAGGAAGCCTTCCTTAATAACTTGTGGGTCCTCTAGGCTGTGTAGGCGACTCTCTGTGTGATAATTTATAGTTTACGTGGCAGTATCTTTGAAATGACTGGTGTGCTTAGATGTGGAGAGACGACTAGATATGTTTAAATAGTTTTAGTATCTGGCATAGATTAGGTCTCCAATCTGCGTCTCTCAACCTCAACCCTCTTTTTGTTTTTGCCACAGGGTGTGTACGCTTGCTGGAGAGAAACAGAGAAAGAGACAGTGTGGCGGAAAGTGAGAAATCACCCCTCGGAGAATGACCATACTCCGGCCATGCACGCACACGTGCCTGGCATGATTTTCATGTCGCAGCGTCTGGGACTCGAACTGAGGTCAGCCACATGGGAGTCCAGCATCTTAACCACATGTCACCTGCTGGTCCCACAACCTCAGCTCTCTCGACATTTGGAACCAGACCATTCTTTGCTGGGAGGAAGTACCCTGTGTACTGAAGGGTGTTTAGCACAGGCATCCCTGGCCTTGAACACAGGGTGCTAGCAGTTCCCCAACCCTGAGCTGTGACAACCAAACATGTCTCCATGTATTACCCGATGCCCCTGTGAGAGAGGGAGCAAAAGTACCCATGGAGAACCAGTGCCTTTAACAAGCACTTGAGTGAGTGGGGGTATGAAGGGAAGGTCAGAGGGGTGGACAGCGCCCCGCCTGCCCCCTCCCTGTTAGCCACTGAACTTGAGCATAACTCGCAACCGCAGGGAGTCTCGGTTCCTTCTGCCTGAAAACCTGGATAATGCCGTTAGCCTGGGCTGTGTTCGTGGCATTGTCAGGAATGTGAACTGGGATAAAGGAGAGAAAATCTTGTACTGTACCAAGGTAAAGGATTGAAACTCTTCTAGCCCAGACAGCTTATTGGCTTATCCAGGCCTGACATACGGGTTCCCTCTG